GGGCGACGCATGAGAAGGCAGCGGAAGATAGAACAAAGTGTGAGACAGAAGGAGAAAGGGGGATAAGAATGAAAAGGGAAAATAACGTAGGAAACAGCAGACAGAGGGCGAGGAAGAAGGGGAAATCAGGAGAAAGGGCGAAAAAAGGGGGGAAAGGGGAAAAGCGAGCATAAGCAGGTGATTATGAGATGTGAGAGGAAGGCGAATGGAAATCAGAGCAGATGGAACGGTGAGATGTCAAAAAGTGCATGTACCTGCCTGGTGACGGGACTAGCTGTGTTTCCCGAGCATCCTATCACCAGGTACATGCTTTTTATTTTTATTTTACATTTCTTGAGAAACACTGTCAGTATTAACATTCCCCCCATCCAAGCCTCTCCTGGAACAAGCAGGGAGTACTCAAAGTCCCATTAACCGCACTTGATCGCACTTCAACTGTCTGCACCGCACTCACTTGCCCCTGCCGAGGCTTGTCTGTGGAACATGCCCCACCGCCCCCTCCAATGCACCCGGCAATCCCCTGGACGCCCTGCTGACGCATGCGGATCCATCTGCAGCCGATCTGCTGACGTGTGCAGATCCACCTGACGCTGATCTGCTGACGTGTGCGAACCTACCATCGTCTCCATCTCTATCATTACTCGCTGCATTTCCAGATCCACCTGGCGAGGGCCTGACGTCCATCAACGGTTCTGATCGGCTCGCTAGAGGCAATCGATGGCTGAGAATGTCCGGGAGCACATCCACGGAATTTTCAAGATTGGTAGATGAAGGAGGGGACGCTGACGTGGCATTGCCATCTTCAATTTTATGTTGGGAACGCAACTGAGCCGACTCCCTTATTTTGCTGGCCTTCAACTCGCTTTCCTGAAAAGCATGTGGAGCGGGTGGACAGGCAAGGGAATGGATGCGCGAAAGGAGAGGAAATGAGAAAAAAAACGGAAGAAACAAATGGATAAAGAAGAGTGAAAAAAAAAAAAGAGGAAAGGAACACACGGAAGGGTGAAACAAGAGGTAATGGAATTTGAGACGAAAATTTGACGTTACAGAAGCGACACGGAACGGGAAGAGAAATGATATCCTGAATTTGGATGGACTAATGTTCGGAGTTAAGCGGGGGTGAAAGTGGGAAGGGAAGGAGGGGATCGGCGAGGGGGAGGGGAAGGGGGGGGAGGGGGAGAGTGGGGAGCGGGGGAGAGGAAAGAGGGCGAAGGTGTGGAAAGTTGGCTAGGGAAAGTTCGCAAGCTGGTACAGTGAACGTCCGTACTTGCTTGAAATAGCTGTTCTCCGATGCTCCACGTCTAAATCGAAGGAAACTCATAGCTCGTTGAAATAACGCGCGCCTGAATGAGGTAGCAGAGCGAAGACGACCACAAGGGATGAAAGCCCTGGAACGTAGAAAGGAAAAGAGCTGGAGTGGCTGAGGAAGTCAGGATGAGTTGACGTCACTGAATGAAAGCGTAACACCAGATGAAAGCGTCTGGACTTGTAACTAGTAGCGCCCGTCTGGGCCTCGGTACAGCAACTCGATACAACGACAGAAAAAAAGTCGGCTTTTAACGAAGCGCAGCAAGATAAGTATAGTAGTTCACGAAGGGTATCTTGTCAAGACAGGGCAGGAAGCTATCCATTTTCCTAAGATTTGACAGGGTTCTTGCTTGTAGGCGATGCAAAAACCATATGTACAGAACTCAGATTGCTTCATGCACTGTAGGCAGTCTTCTTCATTCGCCCCCATCCCCATTTCCATTCGGGAAAATATGCCACTCGTAATCAACAAGGATCTCGATAATATGTTTGGTAAAAAATAACGGGTACGGTCACTGCAAAGGGTGATTTCACGTGTTTGATAAAACGCTTCACGGAATCAGTCACAATCAACGCGAATGGTCACAGATGAAATTCCCGCCCAAAAAAGATACCCAAAACGAACATGGATGCATTTTCAGATGAATCAACCCGAAACCCAACTCGCCAGGTGTTTAGGGTTGATCCGTTCCAAAACCGCATCCGATTCCGATTCCGATTGGGTTTAAGTATTTTGAGAAATTACCTGATTAGTTGGGCGCGAGCGGGAATATATTAGAGTTTCAAGAAATTTTGGCGGGAGTTACATGTGTGACCATTCGCGTGATTTTCGCGTGTTGTTAGTGACTGAATCCGTGACCCCACTTACCAAACCCGTCAGCAAACCCGATACAGTGACCGTACGCGTTACTTTTTTACCATTCACTTTATCGAGTCCCATGTTGGTTACGTGCGACATATTTTCCCTTTTCATTCCCCAAGGAGTACAGTTTTGTACAGTTTCCCGCCCACTTCCACTTGAGCTTCTTGTCGGTGTGGCGCCAAACCAATGCCAGCCTACGAACACGCGCAATGAGTGCAGTCCGAAAGACGCTCACAAAGAATCTGGAGTCTGCACTCCATCACGAGCAGAACAGCTCTGTACAGTTCACGGGTAACACTTCAGTGAAATACGGACCTGACCACTACTGGGTGCAATATGTTTTCAATTTGTCTTTCGGAAGCACACAAAATCTCTGCCGTAAATATTCAGCACAAATTGTGTTACTGGGTGGTTGTGCCACTCTCAAAAGTTAGCGGTATTATTCAAAGTCTCGTGATGACTGAACGCATGGGTGTTGAGAGAAAGAATCATGTTGTGCTTTGGTTCTGGGGTGGGAGAAATTGCTGCTGGTTTTTTTTTTTTTTTTTTGGTAGGTGAAATATGCACTATACACGTACAATGCAAAAACACCACGGTCGTAACCGAAATTGCTGCTGGTGTGAGGTGTGATGTGATGTTCATCTGGCCCTGGTCGAGGGTTGGGGCTCGCATACACGATTTGTCGTAGTTGCTTCAGAGTTTGATGGCGCTCAGTTCAGACTCAAAACTTTCACGCTGACTAAAAACGTGTACCATCTGTTTTCCAGGGTGAAGGACGGAAACAAGAGTACACACACAACTGTGCATGAAGTGCAACCTGGGGAAAACAACCTTCCAGAATCGCACAAATGCATCTCCACTGTATTGGAGGCAGCAGTCTGCCACCGCCTTGGCGAGTGAGCACAGGCTCTCGATCCATTCAAAGGTTCATACGTGCTCAAACAGTAAAACACGGGCGAATGCGGGATCGCTTCCGCGGGCTCGCGGAAGCGTTCTGCCCGCGGGGAGCAAAAAAACTAAAACACAACCGGAAGGCATGCGATTCGGGAGGCATCAATCCAAAAAATTTTGGGTTGAGGCTCCCGACCCGAATGGCATGCAGGTCGCGATGGGGAATAGTTGTTTTGCCCCGGGCAGCTCTCTTTCGCCCATGGGCGCGCCCAGTGGGTTAGAAACCCACCAGGGCTCGGATGGACTCTTGTTGTGCATTCAGAGGACTCACCTGTGCGGCGGAGATCCATCCATCCAAGCCCGAGAAGCACGGTTCTGTTCCCCTGCATTCAGTTGCCCCCACAGGCAGCAATCTTGCACGAGATGGGTTGGTGGTGGAGGGAGGGAAAATTCAGCGGAGTCCTCCTTCCCACCGCAAAGGTGGGGAGAAATAATCATCACATCACTCCAGTTGTGAGGTCACCTGCATCAACAGAAGACTGGTTTTGGCCATTTTCTTATTTTTTCCATGTCTCAATTTCAGGTGGTTCCGGAACGCTGTACCCACCAATCCGGAGGGAAACTTGGTATGGCACTGTACGTTGTCCTTCTGATGTCAAAATCCACCTTGTTGAGGGTGACGGTGATTGTATCTCTGCCCGTCACGGAAGTAGAGAGGCAAAAGCACGAAGGGTGTCTTGACTCTGAAAAACAGACAGAACACCCCTCAAGTACCCAGGTCCAGCCACAATTCCATGATGGGCAGAACAAAGGACGACATATGCAGGTCTAGGTTCACGTCCGGACCTATTGCTGTACTGTACCATCATGGGTACGAAGATATCTGTTGACGAGGCGATTATCACGCCACGCCATATTGAGGGTTTCGTTGGTCCCTCCATCCATCCTTTCGTGCAAGCCTGCAAATGCTTCTGGTCCTGTTCCGCCTAATCAGACAGTCCTTGTTTTGGGTCCTGAGAACGGGTTCACCACCAGCTGGTGATGACACAACCCCATTTGCACTGGCGCGAGCACTAGGCCAAGGAGCCTCCTAAACTATATACTCAGGACGTCGTCTACCAAGCACCGTGTGCATGACGCCTGCGGAAGAAAAACAGTTGGATCTGGACGGAAACATATTTTGTTAAAAAATTGCAACTGTAACATGTCGGACAACATTTGGTTCAAAGATCTTCCTCTCGAGCTGAACAGCATCTCGAAATTTGCAAATTCTGATGGGTTTCAGTGGCTGAAGTATGGCTCCAAGCTTTTAAAAAGTGCGGGACACAGAAGGTCGGTTTCCAGCACAGCACCTCCCCTTTCCCTTTCTTTCTCTCGTTCCAAACAACCATCTAGCGTTCTCTGCACATTTGCAGCCTTTTTCAGCGGACCAGAAATAAAATAGAGGATCAGAGTTGAACAAGCGTACTTTCCGTAGGCTGAGTTGTACTGCTTTCCTTATTCGGGCACAAATATCTCCATCCCTCTCCCCTTCTTGCCTCTCCCCCCCGCTACACGCTTAAGATCTCCATCTCCCTGATGCTTTCCCTCCCCACCTCCCTCTACCCCCTCCCTCTTCCCCTCCCTCCCCCTCCCTCCTTCCCTCCCTCCCCATCATCCCTCTTCCCCTCCCTCTTCCCTGCCCTCTTCCCCTCCCCCCTTCCCTTTTCCCCTCACTCTTCCCCTCCCTCTTCCCTTCCCTCTTCCCCTCCCTCCCCTCCCCCCCTCCCTCCCTCCATCCCCCCTGTATGTATAACATATTTTTATACATATTTTATACATATTCTATGCATATTTTATACATATATATATATATATATATATGTATAGAAACGAATTTTATTCACGCAGCCACATGTCTAGTCTGATTTTCCAAACTAACAAATCACTCAACAATCCAATGTATCGCTATCATATAATTGTTGATTGGTCTTTCGTTTTAGTCTATTGCGTGCTTCCCTTTATTATAATTTCATTGTTGTCTCCTCTCTCTCTTTCCCACTCTCCCTCTCTCCCACTCTCCCTCTCTCCCACTCTCCCTCTCGCCCATCCTCCCTCTCTACCTCCCTCCCTCTCCACCTCCCTCCCTCTCTACCTCCCCACCTCCCTACCTCCCCCTCTCTCTAGCTCCCTCCCTCCCTTCCCCCCTCCCTCCCTCCCTCCCTCCCTCCTTCTTTCCCTCGTTCCCTCGTTCTCTCATTCCCTCGTTCTCTCGTTCCCTCGTTCCCTCGTTCCCTCGTTCCCTCCTTCTTTCCCTCTTTCCTTCCCTCTTTCTCTCCCTCCCTCTTTCCCTCTTTCCCTGCCTCGTTCCCTCCCTCGTTCCCTCCCTCCCTCGTTCCCTCTCTCGTTCCCTCCCTCCCTCTCCACCTCCCTCCCTCTCTACCTCCCCACCGCCCTACCTCCCCCTCTCTCTAGCTCCCTCCCTCCCTTCCCCCCTCCCTCCCTCCCTTCCCCCCTCCCTCCCTCCCTCCCTCCCTCCCTCCCTCCCTCCCTCCCTCCCTCCCTCCCTCCCTCCCTCCCTACCTCCCTACCTACCTCCCTCCCTCCCTCCCTCCCTCCCTCCCTCCCTCCCTCCCTCCCTCCCTCCCTCCCTCCCTCCCTCCCTCACTCCTTCTTTCCCTCGTTCCCTCGTTCCCTTGTTCCCTCGTTCCCGCGTTCCCTCTTTCCCTCTTTCCCTCCCTCTTGCCCTTTTTCCCTCCCTCTTTCCCTCGTTCCCTCCCTCTTTCTCTCCCTCCCTCTTTCCCTCGTTCCCTCCCTCGTTCTCTCCCTCCCTCGTTCCCTCTTTCCCTCCCTCGTTCTCTCCCTCCCTCGTTCCCTCGTTCCCTCCCTCCCTCATTCCCTCTTTCCCTCCCTCGTTCCCTCCCTCCCTCGTTCTCTCCCTCCCTCCCTCCCTCCCTCCCTCCCTCCCTCCCTCCCTCCCTCCCTCCCTCCCTCCCTCCCTCCCTCCCTCCCTCCCTCCCTCCCTCCCTCCCTCCCTCCCAGCTTACTTCCCTACCTCCCTGCTTTCCTCCGTGCTTACCTCCTTGCGTCCCTCCCTCCTTCCCTCCCTGCCTTCCTGCCTACCTACCTACCACCCTCCCTGCTCTTCTCCCTCGCTCCCTGCTTCCTTCCCGCTCTCCCTGTTTCCTTCCCTTCCTCCTCCCTCCCCTCCTCCCTCCCTCCCTCCCGTCCCACCTTCCTCCGTTACTCTCTTCTTCCAATCTCTCTCCTTACCTACCTACCTACCTACCTACCTACCTACCTACCTACCTACCTACCTACCTACCTACCTACCCACCTACCTACCCACCTACCTACCTACCTACCTACCCACCTACCTACCACCTACATACCTACCTACCTGCCTGCCTACCTACCTACCTACCTACCTACCTACCTTCCTACCTACCTACCTACCTACCTACCTACCTACCTACCCACCTACATACCCACCTACCTACCTACCTACCTACCTACCTACCCACCTACCTACCACCTACATACCTACCTACCTGCCTGCCTACCTACCTACCTACCTACCTACCTTCCTACCTACCTTCCTACCTACCTACCTACCTACCTACCTACCTCCCTACCTACCTACCTCCCTCCCTCCCCTCCCTCCCTCCCCCTACTATCCTCCCTCCCTCCATCTCTGCCTTCCTCCCTCCTCCCCTCTCTTCAACAGTTCTTTCTCTCAGTTATCGTTCACGCCCCTCTCCTTTGATCTCTCTTGTCTCTTCCCATCACTTACTTCTTTTTTACTAATGTGATTAAGGCCGAAAGCAAGTATACCAGACTAAAATATATTTCCCTCCCTGTGCCCCCCCATGCCCCTACCTGTATTTCCATCCACATCCCAAATCTTTCGTCCCCCTCTCCAGCCCCCGTTCCTCTCCTCCTCCTTGCAGGGCATATCAAAAGGCATATCCAGCCTTCCATGCCACAACCACTCCCTGTCCGGTTAGCAAGTATTTCACGCTCATAGATGCATCCCATCCCCGTTCCCTTTATTTCCTTCTCTCCCCCTCTCCTCTGCATCAGGGCATACTACCGCTGCATATCCAGCCTTCCCTGCTACAGCCACGCCGACTTGCCTCCCTGCCTGGCGCGCAAGCACATTGACTTTGACGCTCACCAGCAGTTCTCCTCGCGCTCTCACAGCACCAAGGTCACCTACGAGGCCGCACACAACCACACGAGGAGCGTCCCTCCTTTTCCCTACTTTTCTCCACATTCACATCCCAATATTTTCCTCTTTTTCCCCCCAACCCCTCCCCAACCCCCCCGACACTCCCACTTTTTTCCCATTTTTTACTTGCTTCTTCCAGGGCATATTACCGCTGCATATCAAGCCTTCCCTGCTACAGCCACGCCGACTCGCCGCCCTGCCCGGCCCGCAAGCACATTGACTTTGACGCTCACCAGCAGTTCTCCTCGTGTGCTCGCAGCACCAAAGTCACCTACGAGGCCGCGCACAACCACCCCCCTCCCGCCATCCACCGCCGCAGAAGACGCGCCTCACTGCAGGAAACGCAGCAGGGATTACACCAGGAGACACCGCAGGAGACGCAGCGGGAGACGCAGCGGGAGACGCAGCAGGGGACGCAGCAGGGGACAGAGTGGGAGACGCAGCAAGGGTCGCAGCAGGGTTTGCAGCTGGGCCCGCATCAGGGGACACAGCAAGGGCTGTGCATCGTTGGGGCTTCCCAAGGCGTACTACAACCAGTATCCCGTCAAGCATCCTCATCCGATTCGCCTCAATACGAACTGCTGCTGCAGGCATCGTGTGGTGGGGCTGCAGGGCTCGCGAGCAATGCAGTGCAAGCATCGTGTGGTACGGCTGCAGGGATCGATGCAGTGCGTGCCTTGTGTGGTGGGGCTGCAGGGATCGTGAGCGATGCAGTGCAAGCATCGGATGAGGCGGCTGCGCCGACAGCTGTGACGTCCTTTGGAAGTGAGAACGGTGCTGTGCGTCTGTTGCCTTCGTTACCTCTGCTGCCTCTGTTGCCGCGATGCGACACGTCACTGAGCTGCCGGTGCGCCTGGCAGAAGGGAGAACTCTCCCTGGGGCTTTCTTCCACGCCTGCTAAGGGATCCTTGGCCTGTGGTCGGGTAGAGCAACGAGAAGAATCACGTGGCGCTGGTTTCGAGACGTCTCACAACTACCTGGAGCTTTCTTCCGCACCTGCTACGGAGCTCGTGCATTGTGATCGGACAGAGCAACGAGCAGCATCATCAAGTGGCGCTGGTTTTGAGACGTCTCACAAGTACCTCGAGCTTTCTTCCGCACCTGCTAAGGGGTTGGTGCGATGTGATTGGGCTGAGCAACGAGCAGGATCAAGTGGCGGTGCTATTGAGACGTCTCAAAAGTATCTGGGATTTTTTTCCACGCATGCTAAGGGATCCTTGGCTTGTGATCGGACTGAGCAACGAGCAGAATCACGTGGCGCTGCTTCTGAGACGTCTCACAAGTACCTGGGGCTTTCTTCCACGGGATTTGCTGCCTATGATTGGACACAGCACGCAGCAGCATCAACTGCCACAGCTGATGCAGGAGCTACTACAGCAACTAGGATAGCAGCAGCTGCTGCAGCGGATGCTGAGGCTGGGACAGCAGTTACCTATGGAGCTAGTAAGGCAGCAGCAGCTGCAGGTGCGTCTGGCGATTCATCTGAACATTCACTCAAGCATTTACCTCTTGACACTTCGGTTGCTGTACTTTGTTCAGCCAAACGCAGAGTCAGTTTTCTAGGAGGTTCGGGAGTTGAGAGGCCTTCCCAGCTGAGCTTGGGGGAAGGTGAGGGAAATCAAGAAGAGGCAAGGAGTGCTGGGAATGGCTGTGAGGGGTTGGGATTCAGAAATGTTCTTTCAGCTAATGATGCAGCTGAGCATTTGGTCAAGAGGACTGTTGGAATAACCTCAGATGCTGCAGCTGGTCCAGCTGATTTCAGAGTTGATCCTAAAGGCAATGTTGAGGAGTTTTTCCAGGTGAATCTGGTAGAAAGGGAGGGACATAGGCAAGAGACGATGAGTGGTGGGAACTTGTGGGAGGGTTGGGGAGCTGGAGAGGCCTTTTCAACTGGTGGTGCAGCTGAACCTTCACTCAAGAGGTCGCCTGAAACAATCTCGAATGCTGCGGTTAGTCCAGCTGGTCACAGGAATTATCTTGTAGCAGCCCGGGATGACATGGATGAGTCTTGCCAGCTGGCCTTGGTGCAAGGCCTGGAGAAGCGTGAGGAGTTACGGCATGGCAGCAGCGGCAGGGAGGTGAGGGGTGAGAGGGTGGTTGGTGAGAGTGAAGGAGAGGAGGTGAGGGGTGAGAGGGTGGTTGGTGAGAGTGAAGGAGAGGAGGTGAGGGTTGTGCGCGCGGGTAGGAGTGGTTTAGCGAGTAGGAGTGGTTTAGCGGGTAGGAGTGGTTTAGTGGGTAGGAGTGGTTTAGCGAGTAGGAGTGGTTTAGCGGGTAGGAGTGGTTTAGCGAGTAGTACTGCGCCAGTGGATCGTGAAGCGGATAGAGAAGAATGTAAAACTAGCCATAGGCCACACGTGTGGGAGGTGGAGAGTGGCCGTGAGAAAGAGTGTAGGAAGCAAAGCAGAAAGAGAAAGCTGGAGAGTGGGGATGAATTGTCGCAGAGGAGTGAGGATAATGTGCGGCTTGAGGGGAGGGTGGTCGTCTGCAGGAGGGTCGGGGTTGAAGGTCGCATGGATGTAAGCAATTCTGGAGGATTAATCGATGGTCGGAGAGAGGATGGAGGAGCATTTCTCTCTCTAAGCTTATCAACCAATGGGCTTTCAGCGAGCCATTGTCCAGCTAGTGCTCAAGACCGTGAGAACCTGGGAAAGATTTCAGGATTAGAAGATCCTGTGGAAGCCGATGTTGGTATTGGAGAGAAGGAAAGCGGTTCTAGGGTTGTGAGTGTAGATATGTTGAGAGGAACTGTGCAACGACACACTGACAGTCGTTTAGCGGAAGCATCTAGAGGCGTTCCCAGTGGCAGTGCAGCTGGAAGTGACAGTGCAGCAGCAACGGCAGGAGGGGGAATGATAGGGTTCGCGGTGGGAGGAGGTCGAGGGATCACAGCTGGTGTGAGCAACTGTATGGCTGGTAGGGGGAGTGATTCAGCAGAAGAAAACAGTGCCGTCATAGACTTTACGGACAGGAGGAGAGTTGCAGAAGCTAGTGCTGGTGGTGCATTGCAGTGGGAAGAGGCTTCCCAGTCAATGCTAGGGCCAGTGGCGGCACGGCAGGGGAAATCGTTTTCTCCTGTGAAGCCAGCAACAGGTACCAGCAGTGATGCGCGTCTCTTGAAGCAGAGGCGTGCAGGGAATGGTGAAGCAGAAGGTGCTGCTGAAGTGTTGCAGCAGGAACCTCTGGGGTACACAGGAGAGCAGGAAGCGGATGTTGGAGCTCAAGTGTTGCAGCAGTCATCGCCTCTGTACGGCTGGCAGGCCTTTGAGGCTTGGAGAGCTCGATACTTCAGTAGCCAAACAGCTCCATCTCCTCTCAACCCCCACGCGGTGCAGCAGCACCCATCCTCTTCAAAAGCGTCATGCTCTTTAATGAACTGTGCAGCAGAGTTGGGTCCAGCCACACCCCTTCGGCGTCCAGAAGCTTCGCCGATTCTTCGTGTACAGAGTTCGTCTTTCGTGCTGTCAACCAATCCAGGAGAGGCGCTTGAGAGGGTGAAAGAGTTGCCGAACGACCCTCCGTACATCCTGGGAAAAAGTGGAGAACATATGAAGGCAGCAGAAGGACGACGGAAGGATTGGTGGTTGGGAGAGGTGGGGGTCAAGGGCGAACCTCTTGATCATCATGCTCTTAAAAGGCAGGTCAGTGACGGTCCAGTGGATGCCACAGGCATGCCGTCCCCAGTAACATCTTTACGTGTATTGGGAGATGGGCGCCTTGATCTGCGGAAATTCACCAAGGTGGATATAAAGTGGATTTCAGCACAAGAGGATCATGCAGCACCATGTCCTGCACGGACTGGCAAGATTCTTCCACCTGTTTCATTGAACTGCATGATGCCTGTGCATGAGACAAGCTAGGTTGGGGTGGGAATGTCCTGGCTCTTACACTAGCACAACAGCTAGTTGTGTGTGCTTGTTATGTTACAAGGACTCTGCTGGTGTACCTGGTGTGTATGACATCAAGAACCAGGGTGTTGGCAGAAGCTGTAAGTGGGGCTTGAATGTATATTGTTGTAATCAGGGTTATAATCATCTGTTGCCGAATCAGTCCTGCAATAAAACATGTATTGTTTCCTGCCTGGCCCCTAGAGAAGTCCCAGATTGAGGTCTCACCATGTGGTTCAGCAGCGCACACAACATGGGAAGATTGTGTCCGGATCTGTTCCTTGATGAACTTGAATGGTGAAGTGAGCAAAACGATTCCAATGTATCCTTGGAACTCATGATGGGGTCCACTATTGTGTAAATGAAAAACACTTGTGAGATCCCTGTCCAGTCAATAGAACTGCCGTAATTGATCTACTCTGTGATATATCTCCAGGACAGCAACATTTGCTGATGGATACAAACCAATAACTTGTTTCCTGTTTCTGCCCTTCATACTTGAGAGATCATAAAACTGCGGCATCCAAGGTTTGTTTGATGCCAACCCAGTTTTTCCAGATTTTTATGGACATTCGAGGTGATTTGAATGTCCGGTAAGGTTTATCCTGCGAAACAATGACGTGTGAGTAGAATAAACTTTGAGACACTGAATTAACTTAGTTACTTACTAGTAGGATCAGTTTTTATCGCCGCTGGTAGTTCAAAAGCGTGATGTGGTTACTAAACTGGGTTAAATAGCTCAGTGCAGAACAGTGACGTTGGTTGGAGTGGTGTACAACTAATCAGCGTGACATAAACGCACGAGCTAAACGACCTATGTGGTATCTGGCAGCAAAACACGGCGATGGAACTCATCACCGTGAAAGGTGACCTTGGAATTAGTGGTAATATTAGTACTAAACGAAACTGAAGTAATGCTTTTGAACGATAGATGACTCCGCTAGTAGACGTAGCGCACTAACACTAAAAAACGATGCCAGGTCTCAACCCCAAAAGCATTGGCTGTGCACTCTGGTATTGCCTCGTAGTAGCAGTGTGAGCTGCAAAATAAGGCTGGAAATTGAAGTGCAGAGGGTCTGGCTCTGCAAAAGTGTCGCATCACATTTCTAGTCCAGAGCAGCCAGGCACAAACTCGGCTGAAATGTATGGAGGCAAGAAATCCATCCAGGCACGGAACTCTGCTAATTTCAAAGCACGAAATCCTGCAGAATCAAACCGTTGATGGGTGGAGGCTTCGCAGCCACCCAGACAAGCCGCGGTCCTAAAATCAAACGCCAACCAAGCCGTCTTTTGCTTGCCTGACCAGCAGCAAGCCTCTTCTTATTTGATTGGCCCACCCGACAGGTTCGAGGTGCGCTGGCGTCCCTCGGCTGACACCGACTGCTTGGTTGGCGGCGCGCTTCATCACATCACATCACATATCACAAGAATGTTGGGTTAAGGCAGAGTACACCGCAGCACAATCATGATGTATAACTCATTAGTGGTAAAAAGTCCCATCACAAATCTCTTACAAAACAAAAACGAAAACATCCATACAACGTATATAACCACCACGTCGACAGTCAAAATTGTGTGCATCTAACATTCGCCAGCCTGACATGCATCTGGGCGCTATGCAAGTTTTGCTGAAGGTGTTGTGATACTTCCATCCACTGCCAGGAATCAAATCAACAGGGGAGAAAAGAGAAGGTAAGAGGGGAGAAATGGGTGAAAAGGTTCCAGTAGGATTGGTGAAGACGGGAATAAATCACACGCACAGATACATACAGCCATTCCAATCACCATAACCAGTTCCCAGCCATTTGAATGCCACAAATCCCGTACATTGGCACTCGCATCCCATAAACTTACCCTGCCACTCCCACACAACCTTTGTCGCATCAGCCACAACCCGCGGATACACCAAAATTATGTTATCTCCCTCAACCCACTGCTGCACCTCCCTCCACAGCCTCTCCACCGCACGCTGGCGCCTCTTTTCAATCCACTGTACAATCGCCACTTGCACTGTACCAAATACTGTTGATGGTGAATAAAAAAATGGGTGAACTCCTACAGGAGGCGGAAACAGGTGCACTCGAAGCGCCTCCTCCATGACCCATGACTGTCCGGCGTATCCCGTCTGTGTCCGCCAAGACTCGGCATCTTCTGCAGCTTGTTGCAGCAGCACACAGACGTGAGTGTATGTTGTTCTGACTGTCTCTTCCCACTCCCTCCGCCTCTTGATCATCAAGCCAGCAACAGCAAACAGAATCCCACAGGGCAGAGCCAGGAGGAGGTCCAGCCAATGAGAAGCTGCCACATGCCATGACCAGCAGCTGTTGGATACCAGCTCCTGTGCCAGTTCATCCGGGCAGGTAAAAGTTTTCTCCCTCCTGCCTGGACGGAGTAAAGTGTCACCTGACTGAACCCTGGCAAAGGCCCTGTCGGCGACCAGTGCAACGAGAAAATCCCTCTCCTGCTTGCTCAAACCTGACTCTGCCTCCTGAGACACCCCCTCCTGCTGCTTCTGTTGTTGCTGCTCCTGTAGGTGCTGCTGCTCCTCCTCCTGCTGATGCTTCTCCTGCTGCCAATCATCCAGTATCGAGCCTGCAAGTGATGATGCAGCTTCTGCCAGTACTGGCACAGGAACAGAGGTTGATGCACTGCCTGAGGCAGACGACTGAAAGGAAAAGGCCGAGGCAGGGGCCATGGGAAGATCAAGAGCCTCTCTCACCTCCCACTCGCTCACATACCCACTCCCACTCCTTTCCACGAACGAGTCTCCTTCCATATTCACCCACCAGCACGCCTTCTCATCCCCAGCACTGCAAATCCCACCACCTTCACCTCTGTAAACAGCCCCCGTACTGTTCATAATCATCTGGAGTACAAATTGTGTTGCCCTCCTGATCCCATCCGCCAGGCTGGCAGGTGCACCCGCACACATTTGCCACGCACGTTTCTGACACGCCCAGCCAACCACGTCCCTCTCCAGAGCTGCCACTTGACGGTCCACAATTGGGTCAGGAACACACGCAGGGGAGGACGAGACAAGGGCATACCACCAGGTGATCTTCCCGCCACTGTTACTGTCCTCAAGCCCCCTGGTGGTGCTGCCACTGCCACTGCCACTGCCACTGCCACTGCCACTGCCACTGTCACTCCGACTGCCACTGCTACCGCTGCCGCTACTACCGCTGGTTTGTCCGAACGTGGCACCGAGTCCGCTGCGATCTGACGCACGGCTGTAGCGGGGACGGTTGTAGCCTGAAGCAGGGCTGTAGCTGGGACGGCACTTGGCAACTCCCTTGGAGCATTCTGCATGGTCCGGGCACGGACGACAGCGAACAGCAGAGGCTAATGCAGCAGGAGGAGAGGACGGGAAAAGAGTATCCAGGGGAGAATGACGAGGAGGAGACCTGGCGGGTGGACGCGCGACCGTGGAAAGAAACAGTGGCTCGTGTTGCTGCGGCAGTACTGACGGCGATGCTGATAGAGAATCAGGCTTCTCAGATGTAAATTTCAGGTGGCGGTTGCCATGGGTGTCGCAGAAGGGGAGCAATCGGAGCTCCAGGGACTGAATGAGCATCCAGGCGGAGGAGTACACGCCTGCTGCCACGCCCACCATTGCCACCAGCTGCACTGCCTGCAGCAGCAGCATTTGCACGGACCAAGACCATGCACCACGCCTTTGCTTTGCGTTCCTTGCCCGTCTGCTCTCCTCCCCTTTCCTGCTTGTCCGAGTTGGGTGCTCTGACCAGCTGAACCAGCCTTGGACACCCCTTCTTTCCCGACCTGCTGCTGACGATGCTGCTGCTCCTCGTGCTGATGACGGTTCTCGTGCATCGACAAGCTTCTGTGCGAAATCTGGTTGAGAAGCAGGAAGGGGAGGTGATGGAGCTGGAGTGGGAGCAGGGTGGGACGCCCAAAAGTGGAGCTGGCGCGGTAGGATGGGTGAGGCGCGAGGAGCAGCAACGTTTCCAAGAGAGGGAGGGATGCCTGGCATACCCACAGCAGCAGCATTTCCAGTAGAAGCAGCAGGTGCCATCGATGCTCCTGCTGTTGCTGCTGACAATGATGCTGACGGCGAGGCTGAAGACGGTGCTGCTGATGATGATGTCGACGTGCGGGTGGACGGCGTTCCTGTCCATGACGTACGGCGAGCCGCTGAGCCTGTCAGTCTCCGAAAAAGGGCGAGGAAAAGCGAAAGGAGGAAGGAAAGGAAGGAGGAAAGCAGGAGCCAGGGGAAAAATATACTCGCTGAGATCACGCCTGCCACTCCATGGCCTCGCACCCAACTCCAGGTAGCATTCTTAGTCTCTTCATTGCCAGCTCTCTCGTCATTATCAGCCCCACGTGCACATGCACCCCCACCTGCACTTGTCTCTCCACCATCGATTCCGCCATCACTCCCTGCCCATGCCGATCCACGCACATGACGCCTGTGCTGCCCCGCCTCTGGATGGAGACCAGTGCTGCGTTCATAAGAAGGGACATGGAGGAAATCGGAAGCTGAGACGAAGGAGCTGGTGTCTGATTCCTCCTCTCCCTGCTGCTGCTGCTGCTGCTTCTGCTGCTGCTGCTGATGATGATGATGATGATGCTGATGCTGCTGGTGCTGATGATGCTGATGCCACTGCTGCTGCTGCTGCTGCTGCTGCTGCTGCTGTTGCCGAATATGATGCCACTGCTGCTGTTGCTTTCCCTGCTGCGGCTGCTGCTCTTGCTGCTGTTGCCCAGGCTGACGCATGTGCTCCTCCCTATCATGACCAGCGCCTGCTTCTTCCTCCCTCCCCCGACGCCCTTGTGTAAAGG